GACCCCAACCTTCCTTTAGTACTGGCAGCAGACGCATCCCCTTTTGGAATTGGGGCGGTCCTTAGTCACAGACTCCCCAATGGCGCCGAGGCCCCCATCGCCTTTTTCTCCAGGACGCTCTCGGCCACGGAGCGAAATTACAGCCAGATAGACAAGGAAGCCCTAGCAGCTGTTGCGGCCGTAAAAAAGTTTCACGAATTCCTTTTTGGCCACTTCTTTGAACTGGTCACCGACCATAAGCCCCTCCTGGGCCTACTGGCCGGCGACAAACAGACCCCTCAAGTCCTTTCCCCTAGGATGACAAGGTGGACACTTTTCCTAGCGGCCTACTCATACAAACTTATTCACCGCCCGGGCAAAACTCTATCCCACGCCGACGCTCTCAGTCGCTGCCCCTTACCCGCTCCGGCTGAAGACCCAGCTCCTGTCAACGCCATTTTCGAGATCACCCAGTTGGACCTGCCCATCACCGCCCTTGACATCGCCGCTAAAACCAAGGCAGACCAAACGCTCGCCCAGGTGCTCGACTGGGTGAGGAGGGGGTGGCCGGGAGGCAACATTGATAACAAATTCGCACCCTTTAAGACTCGCATGCAGGAGCTGTCCAGTTTGCAGGGTTGTCTACTGTGGGGCACTCGAGTGGTCATTCCGACCTCGCTGCGTACCCGAGTCCTGGAGGCGTTGCACGAGGGACACCCCGGCATCGTGAGAATGAAGGCATTAGCACGCAGCTACGTGTGGTGGCCGGGTCTAGATGAGGACATTGTCAATTGGGTAAGTTCCTGCAGCATTTGCCAGGAATCCCGTCCTGCTCCCCCCATCGCCACCCCTACCAGATGGGAGAGCGCCAGCGCCCCTTGGTCTAGAATCCATATCGATCTGGCCGGCCCCGTGCATGGAAAGATGTTCCTAGTGGTCGTGGACGCTTATTCCAAATGGATAGACGTGGCACAGCTATCCACGACCACCACACTAGCAATCACCAACGTGTTAACGCGCCTGTTCGTTACACATGGACTACCCGACTCCATTGTCTCCGATAATGGCCCACAGTTCGCATCAGTAGAATTCAGCCGTTTTGCTGCCAACCTGGGCATTCGCCACATTTTCACAGCCCCATTTCACCCTGCCAGTAATGGGTTGGCTGAAAGGGCCGTCAGGACCACCAAAGAGGCCCTCGCTAGGTTTGGCAGAGATGACTGGCACCACAAACTCTCACGGTTCCTGATGAGCCAGCACTCAACCCCCTGTGCAGTCACCAATAAGTCCCCAGCGGAACTTCTGATGGGCCGGCGCCTGAGGACTGTATTGGACAGACTGCACCCACAATACTGCCCTGACTCTCCCCTCGCTTCTACTTCGGGGGTTAGACATTTTATGTTACAGGAGCCAGTATTCGCAAGGAATTTCGCTGGGGACCCACTTTGGATTCCAGGCGAGGTCATCGCCGTCACCGGGCCGAGATCGTATAGGGTCAGGCTGGAGGATGGTCGCGTCTGGAGGAGACACATAGACCAGCTTAGAAGGCGCCTCAGCACCCTTGCCAACAAGAATCCAGAGTCTCCAGTCGAAGGGGAACCGCCTCATCCGCCGCCCAGCCACATCGCACCCAACGACCAGTCTGCACCAGCGGTCGTTCCGGTCAGCCCAAACTCGGACAACAGCGCCCAGAGAGTTGACCAGCCTGATCCAACCCACGAGAGCTCGACCCCAGTAACCAACCCGGTGGTTTCCGAGGATGCCCAGTCCGGAGAGAGTGTTGGCGACACTATGCCGGCTCAACCGTCACAGACTGATACCGAACAGACAGACAATGTTCCCGAGTTGCGCCGTTCCGGGCGCCAACACAAACCCCCCGTCTACCTCAAGGACTATGCATGTTCGCATCTGGGGGGAAGGGGTGTTATGTCCTGAGGACTCTAGGAGTTCTCACTCTGGTCCACTCACTTTGTGTGGGAGTTATTCCCCCATTCCCATTGGTTGGTTCTCTCCAGCAGCCAGCTATAAAAGCAGGCTGCGGGGTCCAACCGGTTGCTGATTGCTGCGAGCCAGTTCCAGGCGTGGCAAGCACGGTCAGCCCTTTATTGTATAATAAAGTATTGTTGCACTCATGCTCTGGTTCAGCCTCTCATTGCTCAAACTTAACAATCGTGTCCCTGTGAACAAGAGGCAATTGAAACAGCAGCTCATATCCTGTTACCCTCTATTCATGGACCCATTTTATAACTCCTGACCTGGTACAAAACCAGGAAATTCTAATCTTTTATGTACAGCTGTTACTATCACATACGTATGATAGTGAATATAGCTAAATTCTGCTATATTATCTGTAAAATTAAGCAGATTGGCTGATCATTGATGATCTTACTACTAATTATAATATACTATTGTTTTTTTTACAGAATAATATAGTTGGAAAGGACATTGGAGGTGTTCTAATCCAACTCCCTACTCAGGCAGGAAACCTATACCATTTCAGACAAATGGTTGTCCAACCTCTCCTTAAAAACCTCCAGTGTTGGAGCACATAGAGCTTCTGTTCCACTGATTAATTCTTCTAATTGTCAGGAAATTCTTCCTTATTTCTAGGTTTGTTCTCTCCCTGATTAGTTTCCATCCATTGTTTCTTTTCCTACCTTCAGGTACTTTGGGGAATAGGTTGATTCCCTCTTCTTTCTGACAGCCCCTTAGATGTTTGAACTCTGCTGTCACCCCATAGTCCTTATTCTGTTCTGTTTTACACTGCTCAAAAAAATAAAGAGAACACAAAAATAAGACATCCTAGAACTGAATGAATGAAATATTCTTATTAAATACTTTGTTCATAGTTGAATGTGCTGACAACAAAATCACACAAAAATTATCAATGGAAATCAAATTTAGCAACCCATGGAGGTCTGGATTTGGAGTTACACTCAAAATTAAAGTGGAAAAAAATACTACAGGCTGATCCAACTTTGGTGTAATGTCCTTAAAACAAGTCAAAATGAGACTCAGTAGTGTGTGTGGCCTCCATGTGCCTCTATGACCTCCCTACAACACCTGGGCATGCTCCTGATGAGGTGGCAGATGGTCTCCTGAGGGATCTCCTCCCACACCTGGACTAAAGCATCCCCCAACTCCTGGACAGTCTGTGGTGCAACGTGGCATTGGTGAATGGAACGAGACATGATGTCCCAGATGTGCTCAATTGGATTCAGGTCTGGGGAATGGGTGGGCCAGTCCATAGCATCAATGCCTTTGTCTTGCAGGAACTGCTGACACACTCCAGCCACATGAGGTCTAGCATTGTCATGCATTAGGAGGAACCCAGGGCCAACCACACCAGCATATGGTCTCACAAGGGGTCTTAGGATCTCATCTTGGTACCTAATGGCAGTCAGGCTACCTCTGGCAAGCACATGGAGAGCTGTGCGGCCCCCTAAAGAAATGCCACCACACACCATTGTTGATCCACTGTCAAACCAGTCATGCTGGAGGATGTTGCAGGCAGCAGAACGTTCACCACGGCGTCTCCAGACCCTGTCATGTCTGTTGCATGTACTCAGTGTGAACCTGCTTTCATCTGTGAAGAGAACAGGGTGCCAGTGGCGAATTTGCCAATCTTGGTGTTCTCTGGAAAATGCCAAATGTCCTGCACAGTGTTGGGCTGTAAGTACAACCCCCACCTGTGGACGTCGGGCCCTCATACCACCCTCATGGAGTCTGTTTCTGACCATTTGAGCAGCCACATGCACATTTGTGGCCCACTGGAGGTCATTTTGCAGGGCTCTGGCAGTGCTCCTCCTGTCCCTCCTTGCACAAAGGCAGAGGTAGCAGTTCTGATGCTGGGTTGTTGCCCTCCTACGGCCTCTTCCACATCTCCTGATTTACTGGCCTGTCTCCTGGTAGCACCTCCATGCTCTGGACACTACGCTGACAGACACAGCAAACCTTCTTTCCACAGCTTGCATTGATGTACCATCCTGGATGAGCTGCACTACCTGAGCCACTTGTGTGGGTTATAGACTCCTTCTCATGCTACCACTAGAGTGAAAGTACCGCCAGCATTCAAAAGTGACCAAACCATCAGCCAGAAAGCATAGGAACTGAGAAGTGGTCTGTGGTCACCACCTGCAGAACCACTCCTTTATTGGGGATGTCTTGCTAACTGCCTATGCTTTCCACCTGTTGTCTATTCCATTTGCACAACAGCATGTGAAATTGATTGTCAGTCAGTGCTGCTACCTAAGTGGACTGTTTGATTTCACAGAAGTGTGATTGACTTGGAGTTACATTGTGTTGTTTAAGTGTTCCCTTTATTTTTTTGAGCAGTGTATTTTATTTTATTTCAATATTTTAATTCTCATCTGTGACCATAATAAAAGATTTATCTTATTGATGTAAGAATAGAAAATCAGGGGCAGCTACTTGCAAGGTGCTCTTAACTTCTTAGAACAGAAAATATATAAAGAAGAAAAGGAAGATTGGAAAATATGACTCTTTCTCTCTTTGGCATATATAATGCTTTCCAACAGTGTTAGCAATAAGTTGCGTGACAACTTGTAGAAGGAGAAGCAGAGAAGGGAGGCTGAGTCAAGAGAGGAATCAGTCTGGAGTCATTATATTCCCACAAGTGATCTAAGTCCAGGACCCCTTGAATTCCATTGACTTTTATCTGATGCCAATTTAGTGCTATCAGTTGACTACATTCTTGTGTATAGGCACAAGCAATAAATCAGCTTAACAGGAACTTAACACGAGGTCCTGATTCTTCATGCTGGACACAACTAGATCCAAGAAGTCCACACCCTGATTTTTCTAATACATGTCTTTAAAGAAAGGAAATGCATATCTACAGAATTCTTTGCAGTCAAATCATTATGAAAGGAATTGGCCAATCAGGTGACATTTACAGCCTGGGCATTTACAGTAATTCTGAGTGAACTGAGTTTGCAAACCTTTCTCTTATCTGATTGACACAAATGTTTTATTTGATCTTCTATCAATTCTCATTGCAGACCTACAATAATTACCATGTGCTGGCTTTGCTTCAGACACTGGTGACAGGTGGGACCAGCCCAGATCTTGAAGAATATTTGGCAGACGGGACTTCACTGATTGGCAGTAATAGCAATATGATGTCCTGGGGAGCTAGAAACAGATGCAAACTGGCTCTTTTAACATTAATAGACGATCCACAATTAATAGAAGGGCTGCTGGTAAGTTTTGTTAGATGCCAGCTGATTTAATTCAAACTAATTCATTTTGCTCCCTCATATAATTGTCTAATGAATTAGAAAGCTAAGCTTTTGATAGTCATGAGTTAACTATAATTATGTGGCTCTGGATGATATGCTTGAACATTGCCAAGCTGATCCTAAACAGAATATTGAAATCAAGATTCACATTGAGAACATTATACTGTAGCCAATAGACAAAGCTTCCATCAAGGCTAATCATTAGGAGCACTTGGAACAAGGAACATTTGTGATTGTAATATGACCTGTATTTGAAAAAGAAAAGTCACCTTTATTTGTATTGGCCCCAACTTTTCAATTGTTATTAGGCAAGATATCTTCAGTGGGTCTCCACACTACTTATCTATCTGAGTATAATAAGAGTTGATACATGAGAAAAACAACTGGTAAGTGAACAGCTGTTTTTACAGCTGATCAGTGGCAGTGGTCTAGGTAAGAATGTGCTGTTAATCTGTTTAGAAAGGAAACAATACTTTTCTAATAATTCTTTTTAAAGTCCATTGTTTGGTAAATGATATGAATTGAGTTATTGCCAACTCTCTAGGATAGTGTAAGCAAGTCCAATATATATTACAAAGTTTTCATTGTGATTCCTTCACTGGGTGAAACAATTCTGTAAACATAAAGTGTGAACTAATCAGATACAACTCTAAGGATGGACTCGCAACTGGCTGACAAACCGTACTCAACGAGTAGTCCTTAATAGGTCTAAGTCTACATGGAGGGAAGTAAGCAGTGGGGTACCACAAGGTTCCATCTTAGGCCCAGTACTCTTCAATATCTTCATAAATGACTCAGATGAGGGAATAGAAGGGGAACTTACCAAATTTGCAGATGATAATAAGCTGGCAGGAATAGCTAACACCCAAGAAGATAGACTCAAGATCCAGATGGATCTTGACAGACTAGAACACTGAGCCATATCTAACAAAATGAAATTCAATGCAGAGAAAAGTAAAGTCCTATAATTAGGCAAGAAAAACCAAAAGTACATATATAGACTGGGTGAAACCAGGCTCAACAGCAGTAACTGTGAGAGAGATCTTGGAGTCCTAGTGGACAACCAGCTAAATATGAGCCAGCAGTGTGCAGCAGTAGCCAAAAAAGCTCATGCAATCCTAAATTGTATTAACAGAGGGATACAATCAAGATCAAGGGAAGTACTAATACCACTCCATAAAGCCTTAGTAAGACCACACCTAGAGTACTGCATCCAGTTTTGGTCACCACATTATAAAAAAGATGTTGAGACTCTAGAAAAAGTACAGAGAAGAGCAACCAGGATGATTAGGGGACTGGAGGCTAAAACATACAACGAACAGGGAGACATACAAGGACCAGGGGAGACATGATAGAGGTCTTCCAATATTTGAGGGGCTGCCACAGGGAGGAAGGGGTCAAGCTATTTTCTAAAGCACCTGTACAAGGAATAATGGATGGAAACTGAACAAGGAGATATTTAACCTGGAAATAAGGAGAAACTTTCTGACAGTGAGAACAATCAACCAGTGGAACAGCTTGCCCTTGGAAGTTGTGGGAGTGCCATCAAGAAGAGATTTGACTGCCATTTGTCAGAAATGATGTAGGGTCTCCCACTTGGGCAGGGTGGTTGGACTAGATGACCTACAAAGTCCCTTCCAACTCTGATTATCTGTTATCTATTATGGATACATTATCCTCTCTTCCTTGATATTTCTATGGATTCATTCTGCTCAGTATTCCATGTCTGAATTCTTTGCATAAAAGATTTTCTAGAAACTGCCAATTCTATTTCTGACTTTTCCAATTTTTTTCCTAGGACAGTTGTAAGTTCTGTTCTGTTCAGCCCGATATTGATGAATCCAACAGAAATGTGTGTTTTATAATGTATCATACCTTCACAATATCTATTTTTTAAATGAAAATACCACAGTGGAAATATCTATAGAAACCTGGAAATAGTTGAAAATAAATTTTATCTTGCTATTTTCCCAAGAAGTGAAGTGGAAATCCACCTTTTTTTGAACTGTGATCTTCTACTTTTAGTTTATGTGTCTTCAGTTAATCAGGGATTGTTGATATAGAATCAAAAGTGTTTTCTTGTTTTGCAGTTCTTCTTTCACGATGTGTTCACTAAAGCCCTTGATATGTATGGAATTCTTTGCTTCGGTATCTATCGCCTGAAACCTAACCCCAATCCATATGAAATCAGGAAAGTATAGTAAAATTTAAATTTTCTCATAAAGGTTTAGCTATCTACCTGCATACATAGTGATAAAATATTGGCATGTTCAATAATCTTTCAGAAACAATATGAAGTTTGTATTTTGAAAAGTAGCTTTGGGGATGTATAATATGATGAAAAATCATCATTAAAGGATAGGATTTGAGAGTAGTATTCAGCACATCTTGTAGTACTGGTAATGAATTATGCAATTATAATTAATATATGGAGTTGTTGTCAGGAGATACAGTGGTGACTGCTGGCTCAATTGGTTTTAAAATGCAGTGAGATAAATTGTCTTGATGTCCTGATTGTGATCTTTTCTTGGAGACACTTTAGTTGGCTACTACTGCAAATAAAATGGTGGACTATATACAGTAACAGTACCATCATGGTTCTCAACCTTTTCTTTACTCTGGACCCCCTTTAAATATATTTTTGGCTACAAACCATGCCCATAGACCACCAAGACTTAAAATTTAAATCATAACAGTTCTTCAAAGCCCTATGGACCTCTTGCAGCCTACAGACCACAGCTTGAGAACCACTGGTATAGATATCTACAAAATGGATCAGAGCTCTGACCTACATGGCCTAGACTTCCTTGAGGTAGCATCTTCCAGATCTGCTAGGATTTTAGCATCCATCACTCTTAGAGTTGAAGCACCACCCTTTTTTTGTAGTATAAGTCAGAGGCTGAATCTGTAACCTTCTCTTTCACAGAGAGCAAGAATTCTTATACTATTCCATTAACCAAAGACAACTTCCAATTCAGAAATAACTCAGAGGCTTATGACATTAACACAAGATGCCTATAGCTCTGCCAAATATTGCTACATTTTCTCCTAAAATTCCTTCAAGTTTTTTTCCACATGAATTAGGCAAAGTTACCAATGTAAGATTAGTACTTATCTATTTTTGGCTGATTTTTTAATGCAATATTGTTGCTGTTGAAAACTATGGCATTATTATTCCATAAAAACTTCTCATCATCAATATCTTATAAAAAGCCATTCTGTTAGTCTCCAACATACCATTTAAGTTGTCAATGAGAGGAACCAGTATAAGATGCTATTAAAAAAAATTCTAAGAAATCAGTATTCTGTAAAATGAATTAAATTTCTGTTTGTTAACTTCTTTCTTTCCCTTCCATATTCAGATAAATATCAGGTCTTTGAATACACTGGTTTTGTATGTTAGTTGCTCTAATAAAAGTATTATTTTATAAATTTGTTTTTTTCCTCATGAACAATACAGCTATTGTTTTTAATTGATTTCTGTTTTATTGGTGACTTTTCTCTAAAACAGGTTTGTGATTGCTCGACCACCCACTAATTTTGAGGTCCTTGCTTCTGATCAATTCTTTTGCCTAGTTCCATATAACATTTTATCCAAAGACCTAACAAACGTAGTGAAGTCTATTCCAGCAAAACGTCAAAGGACTACCTTTCAGAAGAAAGAAAATGACACTTCCTTTATAAATAAAGTCTTCTTTCTTTAAGAAGTGTCTGTGACCATTTGTTCTTTTTTAACCCCAGAGATCTGAAGTAATGTTCAGTGTAAACAATAAGGATCATGCAAAAAGTTGCAACATAGAAGAATTATTCAGATCTATACACAAGCCTGGTCAACTAATGATCAGCACTAAATTGGCACGAGATAGGGGTCAACGGAATTCAAGGGGGAGTGGACTTGGACCTTTTCTGGCAACCCAAGGACTCTAAACTGATGATACATTTAACTCTACTATCCAACTTTGCCTGCCCTTCTCCCACATATGAATGTAGAAGCATTCTGCTACTTACTTAAAAAGACTCCAAAACTTTATAACAAATTTGAGGATGGCATTCGCCTATTTGATCCCATCTTCTTGATGGTGTATTTTAAACATGCCTCCTTTTTCCAGAATGGGTTATCACAGGGAATTTTCCTTAGGTTTAAATTAAAAGTTCTTAATTTACTCAATTAAGAAAATGAGGAAGTAGGGAAAAGAAAATCATACTTTATGTATGATTTCATGTATAATCTTTTGCTTTGACTCATTCTTAGAGTGGGCAGCCATGTTGAATTGATCCTGATTTGTTCCCACATAGAAATCAGAAGGAAAAAGATTATTGTCAGAACAATTATATCAATTTAGAGCACCATTTCTTAAAGACAAAATTACAGACAAAATAAGTATGGCAATTTATGTTGGTTAGCTAGCAGAAAACAGAAAGCATCTGCCTGGGCAAATGATGCACTATTCTTATCACATGATTGTATTTCCAGTTTAGTAAACTCAGATATACACAATCTTACTAAGTTAGAAACTTCTTTTATAAAAAGTTTAAATATTACATTGTTTGGCTAAGTGCTGTTGTGATAGGATATATAGATCAGGCCCATTTCAATTCTCATGTTTGAAAAACTGGTCAGTTTAAGTGTCCAGACAGATTCATACTGAAATCCCAAATCAAATTTGATTCAAATCAGTTTTGACTGATTTAGACCACTAAAATGCATGTGTGGATTTCAAATCAATCAAACACTCCAAATAAATTCAGTTAGGCCCAAATTGATCTAGAACAAATATTACTGTAGACATATTATTCAAATTGGCTATGATTCATCAGCATTTCAGGTCTAAACCTGACTTCATTTATTTGAGATATCAGGATTTGTATCCCCATCTCTTGCATGAAGGCATATGTTCTATCCCTAAACTAGGGCACCTTGTACATTGCAATAACTGTGACTGCCTAAATCGCAAGTGTCAAACTCACAGTGTCATGCCTCTGGCCCACAGGCCTAAATAAAGTTATACTAACACATATAGACATGAGCAAAAGTGACGACTCCATCAGAAATAGGGGAACTGAATGGGCTAAATGAGGAACTAATCCCAAAACACATTTTGGCAGGATTTTTACTTTGCAAGCTTGAACAGGTTTTTCACCTTTTTTAAATGTACACTTCCACCAAATCGTTTGAACCTCACTTTGAGTTCTAACTCACTGTTGAGAGAAATCCTACACTGAAGTATGGATTTTGCCAAAGGTAGATCTGCAGTTAAATCAGGAAACTTTTAGTTGTGGTTAAATTTACTCTCTGGCTTTGCTGATATGGAGACTTTAAAGTTTCAGTTTTTGGTTCTGGGTCAGGTCAGGAAAGTGAGTGGATTGTCCCTAGCAGGCAACACGAGTAGTAGTATATATTCTACTTTTAGAATTTGAAACTCACCACTCCTAACATTTCATTCAATTTTCAGCTTGCAATTGTAGTCCTCATGTTCAAAACACCTGATGTTAAAATACTCTTGCCCCACACCCTTGATTTTTGTCAACATTTCATCTTAACAACTCAACTTGTTTAATTTTCTTTGTTCCTAGTAAAGATACTAGGATACCTGCAAAAGGACTGGGTGTTTTTCTATAAATGAGGGCCATTTAACCCACACAATTCGAATTTATCCCAAATGAGAAATTATGATTCTAAACTTTTGAACAAGTTGTTTTGGACTTTATTTTTAGAACTTCCTTCTCTTTTCTAAAAAAAGTGTATTCCCTAATTGTTCTGTTCAGATGAAAGAAGAAATGGGCAGAGAGCCCACCTTAACCCCACCTTCAAGAGAACAGAGGTGATATAATACCCATAAGTAAAATATCCATACATAGCTTCACTGTGAAAAAGCTAGGATGGGATCAGCCCTGTCCCCATACTGAGCTTTGGTGGTGCAATGATTACAATGCAGTATTGCAGGCTAACTGCTCACAGCCTGGAGTTTGTTCCTGACTGGCTCAATGTTGACTCACCAGTGGTGGGATTCAAATTTTTGTGGGTGTGGCTTAGTGGGCACACTTCATGTGTGCACGTGCATAGAGGGTTTTCTACTGACCTTCTCCTGCAATCCTGCACTCTCCCTGTGTGTTCAACAGCTGACATGTGGCAATCCACTGTGCCGCACGAAGCAGCTAAGCTGCAAAACCAGGAAATAAAGGTCAATATAGAGCCGGGGCGGGCAGGCAGGCCCAGCAGTTGATCATCGGAGCAAACTCACAGATGATCCTCAGAGCTACCAGTTTAGCCAAACTGGGCCGAACTGGTAGAATACCAGCTTTGTGACTCACCCTTCTATCCTTCTGAGGTCAGGAAAATGAGAACGCAGATAGTTGGGGGCAATAAGCTGACATTTGTAAACCACTCAGAGTGTGCTATAAAGCACTAATGGAGTCCAAATGCTATTGCTAATATAAGTCCAAATGCTATTGCTATCACTAATATAAGTCCAAATGCTATTGCTATCACTCAGTCCAAAATTGTGCGTATTCCTGCACTGTAATATACACTGCTATTCAAAGACCAAGTCAAAGGTCTTTATGCACAACATTCCCTACAAATGTTATTTTGCCTTGTATAAGTTCTGACTTTGTTTTTTACAAAGGGCAAAACAAAAACGAGGATTGCTTTTAGGTTCCCCACCTGCCTCTCCCATAACACTAATTAGATTTGAAAGACTGTAGCCTGAGTCCAGCCACCACATACTGAGAAGAAAGGAGCCCAAGCAGCTGACAGAGAGTTCAGACTAAACTAACTGCAAACTCTCTGGAGATGTCCCAAGGTAAATCTGATAGTCTCTGTCATTTATAATCATTATCAGGCAACTGAGTTCATTGCTTTAAAAAAAAAATCTGGGGAGCCAATTAAGTGATCCCTCAGGCAGGAGACAAAGGCCTACACTTCCCTTTTGTTTTAAAGGGAAAGCCATGCTTTCTCTTTAAATCCAACAAGTAATGATATCCCAATCCTCATCAAAGAAGCCATCGAGCGCAAATGGAAATGTCCCAATACCATCTTATTTGTTCTTGAAGACAACAATGACAATTATGACATCACAAATGTCTGCAACATCATCAGTGGCAATCAAGCATCAAGCATCTCCCCTGATGAAATACTCGACATATCCCGCATCGGCCCAGAGTTAAAAAACAGTGACAGCTCGTTGGCCTCATATTCCTGCAGGTTCGTTTGCAAAAATGAATTAAGCAAACAAAAATTCATTTACACTATAAACTCACTTGCCAAGACCAACATCAACCATAAGAATCTCCATTCTCACCCTGACTTAACCTTACAGTAATGTGTACGGTCCCATGAACTACGCTCTGAACTCAAAAGACTACAAGAACGAGGCAATATTAACCTATACATCGACTACTGCACAGAATGTATCAAAAGCAAGACCTTCAACTTAAATCCCAACAACCATCACCCCAACATCCAACAATAGGCATGCACACCCTTTACTTCCTCCAAAGCCACTACTACATATCTAAAATGCAAACTACACAATGCAAGAAGCCTCACAAACAAAATGCTTGAATTCCTCATCTAACTAAGGACAACCACATTCGATATTATATTTGTCTGTGAAACGTGGCTGAATGCATCTTTTCCAGACTCCATTACCACAGTCAGAAAATATCACATTTATCAGTCAGATCGTGAAATCCGTAGAGGAGGTGGAGTTGCTATCTTCTATAAAAAATCCCCAAATCTTAGAAAGATTCAAATTACACAAGAGCTTGCTCTTCCAGAGACCATAGTTTGTGAACTGTCCTTAAATACCACTATCCGCTTCTTACTATGCTACAGAGCCCCTGATTATGACATAGTTCATGCAAACAAACTAACTTCACTGCTGAATGAGCTGCCTCTTGTCCACACCCTCTTAATTTCCTTGGTGACCTCAATCTACCTCTTATAGATTGGACCCTAAATGAATGTACATCCGAACCCATACATGCAACCCTGTACAATGCCGCTACAACACTGGGACTGGATCAATTATGTAACTAACAATACTAGACTAACAACTTCCTCGATCTCATCTTCTGCAACAGCTCAAACTCAATTTATGGCCTACAAATACAAGAACCATTTTCAAACAGTGACCACAGTATGATTGACTTTTGTCTCAATTTATGCCCTCACAAAGAAGATCATAATGATGGATCTCCAAAATACAATTTCAAAAAAGCCAACTATGAACTCATACTATGTTTCTCATATCATAAGGCCAGGTCTTATTTTTTTTTGAGCCCTGAAAAAATGGCTAGGATGTCTTTTGGGGAGTAAATTAATTTCTCCCCCCCCCCCCCCCCCCCCCCCCC